AAACATTTATTTGGTATATTTTAGCAACTTATTGACCAGAGATGTATTAATACATCTTTTGTTACCTGAACATTATTGACCAGAGTGTTTCATTATTCACTTACATAACAAATCACCAGTCACAGGCAATAGTTTCTGCAATAATTCCCCAGTCAATAATGTGTTAAAATACTTTGTACTTGGCCAACCCAGTAGTTAGCTTGCTTCTGTAAGCAAACCATTCCTATGGTGCTCTTGTTTGATCACAGATAACAAAACAAGATACAAAAATTGAACTGGAGACTTACAAGCAGACTCGGCAAGGTCTGGATGAAATGTACAATGATGTGTGGAAGCAGCTGAAGGAGGAGAGGAAAGCCCGTTTGGTGAGTGTGTGAGCCTGAGTCGTCAGAAAGATTCCCCAGTTCATTCCCTGAAAGCTAGCTTCTGTCAGCCCTTTGCAGATGCATGCTTCAACCTTCTTTAAAACAAATTAGTTTTATGGAAATAAGGCTTTTAACATGTTAAAAAAATATTCCTGGAGTATTCCTCATTGCCGCCTACCTACTTTCTGTTGACTGGATGCTGAGCCAGTGTTTACTGTAAAATGAGAAAAGGGGTAAAATTAAATCTAGCTGTGCTCCAGACAGACTTGTCTGCATCTCCCTAACCTATTCTGACCTTCACATGTTCAGCACTGCCCAAAATACAGTGTCAGTTAAGTTCATTTCTCTGATCTACTTTAATAATATTCTCCTTGTTAATATCCTTTAAGGAATTAGAAAAAGAACTGGAGTTACAAATTGGAATGAAAACCGAAATGGAAATTGCAATGAAGCTACTAGAAAAGGACACCCATGAGAAGCAGGACACTCTGGTCGCCCTGCGCCAGCAGCTGGAGGAAGTCAAAGCCATTAACTTACAGATGTTTCACAAAGTCCAGGTGGGAATTGGCTCTGTGTCCACATCACACAAAGCCCTGACACAGTGGGCGTGGATTCCGTCTTCCAAGTTTGGGCAAGTGGCAGTTTGACTTGATGTTGGCCGTAACTCGCAAGGCTCATGACATTTGCTTTGGCATCACCAAACCCCTGTCTGCAGAGTCAGCACAGCGTGGTTGGATTCCCCAGGCAGGACCACCCCCACGTCCCTCTAGTGCTGCTGGAATTCCGGCTTCACACTCTTTCTCCCTCTGGGCTTCAGATGCAGAAGGTTGAGTTGACACTTATATCCCTGGTCAGGGCACTATAAAAAGACATCCCTTTTGTTTTCTTATTTCCTTTTATCCCCCATCCCACTGCCATCCTCTTTCCTATAGCCCAGCATTCGCAAGTGTTGATCTTTTCATTTGTACTTAGCATTCTAAAATGTGTATCATTTTGAGATACAAATTTTAGTTTCCATCAGTGGTATCGCGCTGTGGCTCTCCTGTTGCTTCTTCTGCCTCGGCGTGACATTCATCTGCATGCTTCCCTGCTGTTGGCTTCTTAATACAGGTTAGCTTCCCAATGTGTGTACCCACTGCATTTTCTTGCCCAGTGACGGACAAACAGTTTTCCTCCACTATGCTAGCACAAGCCACACCCTGGCAAGTAGTGTACCCATCTCCCTTTGAAACCTAGGAGAATCTCTCTGGCAGACATAATCATAGCGTCCTCCCAGCCAGACGCTTCTTTCTTCCAGCCACACTGCTTTCCAGAAGGGCTGCATCAACATGCACTCTCTCCAGCTGTGGCGTGTGGTACCTGTACTGTGAGTGAGTGTACAATTGTTTTAATATTCATTTCTCAGTCTAATGAGTTTGAGCATCCTTTAATATGGCAGTTAGCCATTTATGTTTCCTCTTTGTGGCTTACCTGTTCATATGTTTTGTCCTTTATTTCTTTTGGGTTTTCTCTTTTCCTTGTTGATGAGTAGTCATGTATAGTGTAAATATTAGTCCTTTACTGGTCTACAGATTGTAAGTATCTTCTCCTAGTCATCTACTATCCTTAAGTCCCTAGTTTTGATGTAGTCGATAATGTGTTGATTTTTCAAATATGGTTTGCACTTTGGGGGCTTCCCTGATAGCTTGGTTGGTAAAGAATCCGCCTGCAATGCAGGAGATCCTTGTTCTATTCCTAGGTCCAGAAGATCCACTGGAGAAGGGATAGGCTATCCGCTTCAGTATTCTTGGGCTTCCCTTGTGGCTCAGCTGGTAAAGAATCTGTCTGAAATGCGGGAGACCTGGGTTGGGAAGATCCCCTGGAGAAGGGAAAGGCTACCCACTCCAGTATTCTGGCCTGGAGAATTCCATGGACTGTATAGTCCGTGAGGTCACAAAGAGTTGGACACAACTGAGCGACTTTCACTTTCACTTTCTTTCTTTCTTTGCACTTTGGAGGTTTTGTATTAGAAACTTTCTCATGCCTGGGTGTCAGAGATAATCCACACTAGTTGTCTCAACCTTTCACATTAGGTTTGTACTGTTATCAAGAGTTAGCCTTTGTATATGGCATTACCCAGGGATTCAGTGTTCTTTTTGTCCATGTAGTAAACTGCTTCAGGGTCTCTTGTTGGCATGTGGTGCCACCTTCATCATGTGTCAAGTTCCTACGTAAATAAATGGAACTATCTCTGAGGTCTCTATTGTGCTTGAGGGTTTGTGTATTTTAATTGCCATAGCTTTGTGGTGGGTTTTACTGTCTGGTTGGTTCTGTGAGTTTGCTCTGGCTGCTGCAATAGACCACCACAAGCTGAGTGGCTTAACAAGAATTTACCACCTCACAGTGCTGGAGGCCAGAAGTCTCAGCGTCAGGCATTGGCAGGGGTGGTTTCCTCTGAGGCTTGTGAGAACATCAGTCCCAGCCGTCTCTCCTAGCTTCTGGTGCTTGCTGTCAGTTTTGGGGGCTCCTTCACTTGAAGGAGTTACCGCCCCATCTCTGCCTTCCATCTTCACACAACATTTTCCCTGAACGTGCATGCCTCTGTCCACACCTCCCCTTTGTATAAGGACACCAGTCATATCGTATTGGGAGCCCACCCAACTCCATTGTGACTTCATCTTAATTAATTATGTCTGCAGCTAGTGACCCTGCTTCCAAATGAGGTCCTGGGTCATACTGGGGGTTGGGACTTCAACATAACATGTTTGGGAGGGACAGGATTCAGCCCAGAACGTTGGTCAAGCCTGCCCATGTTTCCCTCTGTTTTCTCTCTTCATTTTCCAATTGACTTATCTATTTATAAATGTTTGTTCTTTTTTTATCTTCTCAACTGAAGTATAGTTAATTCACAATGTTGTATTAGTTTCTGGTATAAAATGATTCTTTTTCAGATTCTTTTCTATTATAGATTATTATAAATTATTGAATATAGTTCCCTATGCTATATAGTAGGTCTTTATCTATTTTATATATAGTGATATGTGTCTGTTAACCATAAATTTCCCTTTGGTAACCATAAGTTTTTTCTCCAAGTCTGACTGTTTCTGTGTTGTAAATAAGTTCATTTGTATCATTTTTTTAGATTCCACATATAAGTAGTATGATATTTGTCTTTGGCTGACTTACTTCACTTAGAGTGATAATCTCCAGGTCCATCCATATTCCTACAGATGGCAATATTTCTTTGTTTCTATGGCTCTGTAGGGCTTCCCTGGTGACTTAGTGGTAAAGAATCCACCTGCCAATGCAGGAGACTGAGGTCTGATGCCTGGGTCAGGAAGATCCCTGGAGAAGAAAATGGTTCCCCACTCCAGCATTCTTGCCATGGACAGAGGAGCCTGGAGGGCTGCAGTCCACGGGGATGCAAAGAGTCAGACACGACTTAGCAACTAAACAACAGCAATGTTCCATTGTATGTGTATCTGTATGCACTGTATATACACACACACATACACACACACACGCACATGCACACACATATACACACATATACATACACATACACACACATATATACACATATATACACACATATCACGCACACATACACATGCACACACACATATACACACATATACACGCACATACACACATACATATATACATACACACATACACACATATACATACACATACATGCACACATATACACACATGCACATACACACACATACAGATATACACACACATATTTATATATACATACACACATATACACACACATATATGCACACATATTTATATATATACATACACACACATATACACACACATATACACACACACATATTTATATATACACACACACGTATACACATATATATATATATATATATACACTCACCATATTTTCTTTATCCATTCATCTGTCAGTAGATATTTAGGTTGCTTCCACACCATGGCTGTTGTATATAGTGCTGCAGTGAACATGTATCTTTTTGAATTAGACCTCTCATCTTTTCTAGATATGTGCCCAGAAATGGAATTGCTAGATCTTACAATAACTCTATTTTTAGTTTTTTAAGGAATCTCCATATTGTTTTCCAGCGTCTGTACCAATTTACATTCCCAGCAACAGTGCAGGCGGCTCCCTTTTCTCCACATCCTCTCCAGCGTTTACTATTTGTAGACTTTTTGATGATGACCATTCTGACTAGTGTGAGGTAATTCTTCACTGCAGTTTTTATTTGCATTTCTCTATAATTAGCCGTGTTGAGCATCTTTTCATGTGCCTGTTGGCCATCTGTATGTCTTTCAGAGAAATGTCTAATTAGGTCTTCTGCCCATTTTTTGATTGGGTTGTATGGTTTTTTTATATTAAGCTATGTAAGTTTTTTGTATATCAAGAAGAGATAAGAAGACTTTCTTCAATAAACAATGCAAAGAAGTAGAGGAAAACAACAGAATGGGAAAGATTAAAGGACTCTTCATGAAAATTGGAGATATCAAGGGAATATTTCATGCAAGGATAGGCACAATAAGGGACAGAAACAGTAAGGACCTAACAGAGCCAGAAGAGGTTAAGAAGAGGTGTCAAGAATACACAGAAGAACTGTACAAAAAAGATCTTCTTGGCGGAGTCAGGGCCGGAAGTAGAACGGGGCGGCGGAGGCGGCAGCGGCTGGCGGCTCAGCCCTGAGTGCAAGTAACAGGATCACCATGATTCTTCAGAGACTCTTCAGGTTGTCCTCTCTTGTTCAGTCTGCAATCTCAGTCTCTCTGAGGAGGAACATTGGTGTCACAGCAGTGGCGTTTAATAAGGAGCTTGATCCTGTGCAGAAACTCTTCGTGGACAAGATTAGAGAATATAGAACTAAGCGCCAGACATTTGGAGGACCTGTTGATGCTGGCCCAGAGTATCAGCAAGACCTAGACCGGGAGCTTTTTAAGCTTAAACAAATGTGTGGTAAAGCAGACATGAATACATTCCCTAACTTCACGTTTGAAGACCCCAAGTTCAAAGTTGTTGAGAAACCACAGTCTTGAAGAAGTAATGTAAAATTGATCTGGTAATTTGTCCTAGTTGAGTTGTACAGCTACCCAGAAGTAACAGAATAAACACACATTTCACAGCTGTCAAATGTTCTTTTAATTCTGATTTCAAATAAATTATTTGGTGATGTTAGGTATACAGTTGAGTGTGTTGAATTTTTTTTTTTTTAAATAAATTTTACTTTATTTGCTGTGCCGGATCTTAATTGCAGCACACAGGATCTTTAGTTGTGCATGAGAACTCTTCGTTGCAGCATGTGGGATCTAGTTCCCTGCCAGGGACTGTACCCAGGTACCCTGCATTGGGAGCTTGGAGTCTTAGCCACTGGACCACCAGGGAAGTCCCCAAATTCTTTGTTTTTATATCCTCCTGTTTGATTGTATGAAAGCAGATGGAGACCTTGCATTAACTGAGTACCACTTGCCCCAAACTCGCCAGATTCTCCTCAGCGTTGAGGTGTCCTGTTTATCTTGGAGACTTACTGCCTGCCGGAAGGGAGCCATCCTGACTAAAGAAAGGAGTGTTCGCAGTGGAGGACGTCACACCTGCTCCCAGAATATGAAGAAACGGTTCCAAAATCATTGGTCATAGCTTTTTCAGGGAACTCGGGTGTGACTGTGAATACATCCAGGGACTTCCTTTGTGTTTTTACTTCTATCTCCTCATGTGTTAAATGCTTTTATTATCCCAGTAACACCTCCCTCCTCTCCCCTTGGAGTGTAATGGTCACCGTGTCTATTACAAGGCTATGCGGATAGATCAGGGAAAGCTGGGGGCGGGGGAGAGGAGGGTTCTACAAAGCAATTTACTTGAAAATAGATTAAGCTGTATGGTGGTGTTTGCCCAGTGGATGGAATACTGAGCAGATGTGCCAGATAAGTGGCAGAGCAGGTGCGTCAAAATTTCAGTAAGTAGACGGTTCTGTTTTTAATTTTTTTTTTCTAAAAGAGGCAGCTGTGCCTTTTTAAGTCTGACACTCTCGTGTCAAGAAATATGTGTCTTTNGCATCACTGACTCAATGGACATGAATTTGAGCAAACTTCAGGAGACAGTGAAGGACAGGGAAGCCTGGCGTGCTGCCGTCCATGGGGTCACAAAGAGTCAGACACAACTTAGGGACTGAACAACAACCATAAAGCTGGCTGTTGGTATATTTTCAAAATCCCTCTGTTGGTCACATCATTAGCAAATATTTTCTCCCATTCCATAGGTTGTCTTTTCATTTTGTTTATGGTTTCCATTGCTGTGCAAAAGCTTATAAGTTTAATTAGGTCACATTTGTTTATTTTCACTTTTGTTTCCATTACTCTAGGAGACGGATCCAAAAAAATACTGCTGTCAGTGTTTATGTTAAAAATTTATGTCAGTGTTCTGCCCATGTTTTCCAGTGTTATACCTTGATCTTTAATCCATTTTGAGTTTATCTTTGTATATAGTGTTAGGAAATGTTCTATTTTCATTCTTTTACATGTAGCTGTGCACTTTCCCACTTTCCCAGCACCGCTTATTGAAGAGACAGATCTTGTCTCCATTTTCTCCCCTCCTTTGCTGTAAATTAATTGACCATAATGCATAGGTTTATTTCTGGGCTTTCTCTCCTGTTCCATTGATCTCTGGCTTTGTGCCAGCATCATGCTGCTTTGGTTACTGTGACTTTGTAGTGTAGTCTGATTCTTGATAAATATTTTAGAATAAGGTATAAACTTCCTTTTTTAAAACTCCAGCTGAATTTCTTAAGTGTGAATTATGTTGAATTCAAAGCTTACTCTCCTTTTTGTTCCATAAGAGTTGCGTTTTCTCCAGGTGAGCCCTTGATTCTGTCTCATCCTTGATGGCAGCATGGCTGTTTCCTTATTTTGGTTGCATTTTCTAGTGAGGTCTTACTAACATGGAGAAGTGCTTTTGTGCTTTATAGGTTGATCTTGTGTTTGACAGCCTTGCCCACCCACCACCTAGTTCTTGATGGTTTGTCTATTGATCTTGTTGGTGGTAATTAACCATACTGTAGGCAAATAAAGACAGTTTAGTCTCTTCACTCTCAAGTCTTGTACCCATTATTTTTTGTTTCTTTTAGCACTGGCCTCCATGACTACATTAAACAGTAACAGAAATAGTGAGCACACTTATGATTCTGATCTTAAAAGTAATGGGGGATCGGGATGGGGAATACATGTAACTCCATGACTGATTCATGTCAATGTATGACAAAACCCACTACAGTATTGTAAAATAATTAGCCTCCAACTAATAAAAATAAATGAAAAAAAAAAAAAGTAATGCATGTAAAACTTTCTCCATCCGGCCTTCCCGGGTGGCTCAGTGGTAAAGAATCCGCCTGCCAGTGCAGGAAACACGGGCTCCATCCCTGATTGGGAAAAAATCCCACGTGCCTCAGAGCAGCTCAGCCCGTGTGCCACAACTATTAAGCCTGTGCCCTGAAGCCTGGGAGCCACCACTGCTGACGCCCGCACGCCTAGAGCCTGCGCCCGCAGCTCGAGAGTTGCCCCGTTCTCCGCAACTGGAGGAGGGCCACACAGCGACAGAGACCCAGCACAGCCAAACCAAATAAACGAGAGTGCTCTTTTAGAAGCTTTCCCCACCGAGAGTAGTGCTTACTAGATGGTTGGCGTGTAATCTCCGCTGAATTAAAGACGTTCTTTTTTTTTAATTTATTTTCGTCACTGTGCATGGGCTCCCTCCCGCCGCGTGGACCAGAGGCTGCTCCGATGGTGGAGCGCAGGCTCCTCGCCGCAGTGGCCTCCCGTCCTGGCGCACGGGGCTTGTGGGCTTCCGCGGCTGCGGTGCGTGGGCTCTCGAGCACAGGCTCAGCAAGGTGGCGCTCAGGTTCAGTTGCTCATGGCACGAGCGAGGTTCTGTGATCAGGGATGGAACCCGTGTCTCCTGCATTTTCAGGCAGATTCTTAACCACTGGACCCCCAGAGAAGTCCATGAAGTTCTTCTTTATTTCTTTTTTGCTCAGAGATTTTTCTCAATAAATAAATATTGAACTTTATTAAATGTTTTAGGCTTTTTTGCATTTTATTTATTGTGATAGAACAGTTCTTTTTCTCCCTTATTTTTTTTTCTCCCTTATTTATGTGGCAATTTATAGATTTGCATTCTTGGATTCCTACTTAATTGTGACATATTTAAATATGTAGCTAATATGTATGTTTATACATGAGACAGACATCTAACTTTCTTTCCTATTACTAACCTTATTTGGCTTCAAAATCATGGTTGGACTGGTACTGTAAAATAAGGTTTCCTGCTCTCTTTCTTAGAAGTAACTCTTATCAGATAGCAAGTATCTGTTCTCCAAAAGTTTTGAGAATCCCATCCATGTTATAGGATTCATCCGGGCTGGGCTTTTTGGGTCAAGGAGACTATGACTGCCATTTCAATTTATTGAATGCTTACTGGTTTATTCATATTTTCCATTTCTTCTCAGACCAATTTTGGTATATTTTATACTTTTTCCCAAAATGTGTCTTATTTTATTTAGGTTTTCAAGTGTTTTAGCTCATAATTGTTTATAATATTCTTTTGCAGAATTTTTAAATCTCTTTAATTCAGTGTTTTCTTATCGCATTTTCTGTCTTCTTTATCTAATCTTCCTGGAATTGTGTCTGTTTTAATAATCTTCTCAAAGACCTGGCTTGTTTTCTAATATTCCTTATTGTGTACTGTTATTGTTTCTTATTTCATTGATCTCTACCTTCACTTTTATTATATTTCTTATTTCTTAGGGTTTACTCTGTGGCTCATTTTCAGCTTCTGAAATGCATACTCAGCTCATCTATTTTGTTTTATTTTTTATTTCATTAAATATTTTATTTGAAGTGAAGTCGCTCAGTCGTGTCCGACTCTTTGCGACCCCATGGACTGTAGCCTACCACACTCCTCCGTCCATGGGATTTTCCAGGCAAGACTACTGGGGTGGGTTGCCATTTCCTTCTCCAGAGCATCTTCCCGACCCAGGGATCGAACCTGGGTCTTCCACGTTGTAGGCAGACACTTTACCATCTATACCACCAGGGCAGTCTAAAAGTTTACAACTGCCCACACGCCCGCTTTAGCTAGGCTGCCGCAGTGCCTCAGGCAGTAAAGAGTCTGCCTGCAGTGTGGGAGACCCGGGTTCAATCCCTGGGTCGGGAAGATCCCCTGGAGGAGGAAATGGCAACCCACTCCAGTATTCTTGCCTGGGAAATCCCATGGACAGAGGAGCCTGGTGGGCTACAGTCCATGGGGTCACAAAGAGCTGGACATGACTCAGCGACCTCACTTCACTGCTTTAATGACACTCAAATTTTGATGAAAGTATTTCATTGATTGGGTTGGCCAAAAGGTTTGTTTGGTTTTTTCCATAAGACAGCTCTCACAGCATTTAGTCTTTAACTTCATTCAAAACAGTTTTGTTAGATTGTATCATGACAGTTGTCATATCGGCTTGCATTTTCAAAAAACTTAGCAAAATTGGTGAATTTTTGTAAAGCTATTTTAATATTGAAGATGGAAGGAAGAAAGCATTTTTGGCATATTGTTATTATTTATTATTTCAAAGAAGGTAAAAATGCAACTGAAATGCAAAAAAAATGTATGTGTGCAGTGTGTGGAGAAAGTGCTGGTCAATTGTGTCAGAAGTGGTTTGTGAAGTTTCATGTTGGAGATTTCTTGCTGGATGATGCTCCCCAGTCAGATACACCTGTTGAAGTCAATAGAGATTAAATCAAAACATCAATTGACAACAGTGTTAAACTACATGAGAGAGAGCTGACATACTTAAAATATCCAAATTAAGTGTTGAAAATTATTTGCACCCCCTTAGTTATGTTAATCATTTTAATTGCTTGGGTTCCACATAAGTTAAGCAAAATAAACCTTCTTGACCGTATTTCCATGTGTCATTCTCTACTGAAACATAATGAAAACACTCCTTTTTAAAAACAAATTGTGAAGGGCAACGAAAAGTGGATACTGTACAATAATATAGAATAGAAGAGATTGTGGGCTGAGCAAAATGAACTACCACCAACCTCGCCAAAGGCAAGTCTTCATCCAAAGAAGGTGATGTTGTATATATCGTGGGATTAGAACAGAGTCCCCTATTATGAGCTCCTTCCAGAAAACCAAATGAT